TTAGGTCTGGTTTCAACTGATTGGGTGTAGGCCTACAGAAGGGCAGAGTTTTCTAGAGCAGGAGAGTGGGTGGAGCCCATACTTCCTTGAAGCATGTGAGGAAAAAATAAGTTAGTGTGATTTTTGGAAGTGCTTGAGAGGGGGTGGGGTGATCGATCAGGGGGTTGGGTGATCAATCGGAGGGGGGGGGGGCACAACACCGGCTGAGAAGCAGTATAAAAGTATTGTCTGTTTGACAATACTTTTATACTGCTGTTTGTCTGTTTGAGTTTCCTGTACAATTTGTATTCCATTACTGTGTTTCTAAGGATAGGATGCCACTAGCTTAGGGGTTAATTAATTTTGCATTAAATAAAATTACTGCATACCTGTATTAGTCTTCTGTGTATTTTATATAAGATAAGATATTTATTCAGGTAAAGGTACATACTGTACATTGAAAATGATATTTTTCCTTAATTTATTCTGAGTCAGATCTTGGAGTGACTTGGATATCACCTATGATTTTATGAGTATTTTTATGAGTCAATATAGTTCCCTTGTTTTTCATGAAGTAATGCAGAAGGAATTCCTTTCATCCAGTAAGTATAAAAAACATCAAACACTAACACTTGGTATTAGTTGACTAGTCTCCTTCCAAGTCAATTAGCCTGATTAACAAAATTCCAGGAGTGGTGGCGGCGGCAATTTTTTTTTTTATGAGTAACCTTATCTTCCATCTGGTCTGTAAGAATTGCAAAGATATCTTTAACATCTTGGTCATTTCTCCCTACCTTCCCTTGATGACTGGTTTGAGCATTTTCTGCTGTGAGGGCGGACTCTTTCCCAGTTCATCAGGTTTTACCATACAATAATTACAGCCTAAAAGAGTTACAAGTTACAGCAACCATTACAGTGATCGTTACAAATGGCTACATTTCAATAGTGTTACAACACAATGTTCTATTGATGGGTACAGTTCAGCCAGATTAACCAGCAAGTTGAATAATAAAGTCAAGTAACGTAATTATAAGGAGAAGGTGCTAAGTCAATTTCATCTATATAGTACTTGGAAGGAATATGAAGATAAGATTCAAGATAGGATGGCGTAAAGGAATGGTGCCCAACCACTTGGTTGGTCAGGAACTGAATGCCGACTTACAAGAAGTGAGATCGTCACTATACTGTCCAGTCTAAGTGGTTGGAATTAGGTAAAACATAAGATTTCTTTAAAACTGCAGATCTTTATGTACAGTTAAGGAAAACAAGTAATTTAGGCTTTGGTTACTGTATATGGAACTCTGCTGACACTCTTTGGTCTTTTTGATCGAGTTTTCCCCTCAGTGTGTGATGTCTTAGGACACACTCAGCTTCCCTACTTCTGTGATGGGCCAGGATTCTGGTCCTTGCTTCATGTAGGTCATAAGATAGCCTTAGATGCCCAGTGAGATGATGCCCTGTGGGTATCACTACATAAGCTCTGATGGGCCCTTGAAAAGCCACATTGATTTACAGTATACTCAGTGCTCTAGGAAGATTTGTTTTGATATGTAATTACTTGTGAGTATAAAAGATATGTAACAGCAAGAGAAGTCTAGTAGTAGACCAGGTAGGAGTAAGATGACATAATTTATAATTATAATAATAATATCATAACATGGGCAGAATGCCTATACTGTACATATACCACATGATAACGTTTTAGAAACTCAGTACTGTGTCAGGAAACTCATAACCTTTAAACTGCTAAGCTGTTTAAAAGTCTTACATCCAGGTAAGCATTGAAAAAAAAGAAAGTATTGAAAACTCATAAGCGTCACATATGGCAATTTGCACGTAGGAGGAAATTGCAGATAGCAATTGGACCATTGCAAGTGTTAGCAACATCCAAAGTGGCATTTAAGTCACTACACGTATACCAGAAGTAAAGTACAGTAATTAATGTAAATTGTTTTTAACGGTAATGTGTATTATGTAATATACAGTAATATATTCCATCATTATTAATAAAATTACAATACTGTAGTAATTACCTAAGTGTAGTTACAGGATGAGAGCTACACTTGTGGTGTTCCATCTTCCCAGCACTCTGTCACATAACGCTTTGAAACTACTGATGGTTTTGGTCGCCACCACCTTCTCACTTTGCTTGTTCCAACAGCTACCAGTCTGTTTGCAAAATAAAACTTTCTAATACTGTATATTTTTGGCACCTTTGTTTCCTTAGCTTGAATCTGTGTCCTCTTGTTCTTGAAATAGATGGTTTCGGGAATTCCCCTCCTGAAACTCATAAATTTACGTATTTAACCATGTAACTGAAACTATGTATAAATTTGTCGTGTTTAAATAAAGGCGAAGAAAAGACACATTGCATGTGTACATATATTATTAAACCAAATTTTAGGTTCATCTGAAAATTTGGTTTAATAATATACCTGCACATCTACTGAGTTTTTTCTTCACTTTCAATAATATTATTAAAAATACTGTTTTAATATTTTTATTATATATATATACTATGTTTTTGGACCAGGATGCACCTGATAGAGTTGGAGCGTAGAGCAGGCTATTACCAGAGAGTTGAAGAACTGTACGCAGAAGCATCTCGTGCATTTACCCAACCACGCCAACGCTCTTGGCTAGCCATCAAATATGCTCGTTTTCTTTTTAAGGTGAGAGAATAAAATGCCAATGGTTTATTGATATTAATGTATATTGGAAGACAACAGTTTTATTATTCTCTTTTCATCAATAAGTAATATACAAACCCCATTAAAACTTGACACTTGTTACACTGTCCTCTCACTTTCTCTCTCTCACTGAGGAATCACACTGCTGCAGGCTCCAGGATAATTCAAATTATCTAAGTACTCACCTAGTTGTGCTTGCGAGCCTATTGGGCTCTATCATATCTACACTTGAAACTGTGTATGGAGTCGGCCTCCACCACATTACTTCCTAATGCATTCCATTTGTCAACCACTCTGACACTAAAAAAGTTCTTTCTAATATCTCTGTGGCTCATTTGGGCACTCAGTTTCCACCTGTGTCCCCTAGTGCGTGTGCCCCTTGTGTTAAACAGCTTGTCTTTATCTAAGTGTTGGGAGTAGGGTGAGGGCTGCAAGCGGTATTATAGAATACATGAAGGTGTAGGGAATTTGAAAAGAAACTAAGACAAGAAATAAGTGTCAGTGAATGAAAAATCTTGGCTAGAAAAGTTGATCTTTCAAAGCAGCAAAATAACAACAAAGATGGCTGCCACCACAGGGGAGGACAGCACAATAACAAAGGAATATTTTGCAAGTTTCTTGCAACAAGATGTAAAGAAAGGTGGTTTTCTTAGCAGGTTAGTGATTACTGAGAACATGCTAAAGAATTATGAAGAAAAGGTAATTAAATTAGAACAAGAAAATGAGGGTCTCAAGATTGAGTTTTGTAATTTAAAAGGAAGTATTTTCCAGCAAGGTAAGGAAATTACCAGCTTGACTAATACAGGAGGAACACAGCAAGGAACTAGTAAAGGATAATGAGGCATGGAAAGTGAAGAGTAGGAAATTTGAAGAAATTAACAAGAAGATAGACTCATATTGTGAACAACTCCAAGGGAGCCTGAGGGCCAACATGGAGTTAGGAGATGCAATGAGAAACTTCATTGGCAACTCACATAGAGGAGGTTAATAAAGAACTAGAAAAGTATAAAGAAGAAATAAAAGAGATGTATGCACAAGTTGTAAAAGAGAAAGAGACAATCAAGGAAGTGTGTTTGGAAGTCAAAATCAGAAATGACCAACAAGAAGCAGAAGTTAGGCAAGCAATTAGGAAAGAACTGGTTACCAACAGTAAACTGGTACAAAACACTGTAGATAGAAGTAAGTCAATAATAACTTTTGGATGTTTAGAGAAGGAAATTTCATCTAGGGTGGACCGAGCAGCAGAAGAGATGAAAATCACAGAGAAATAGTAGGTTTAGGAGAAGACTCAAAGGAAAATGTCAGTGATTTTAGAAGAATAGGAAAATATGAGAAAAGACAAGAACCGCCCCTTAAGGGTGACGTTTAATGGAGGGAAAAACATGATGGAAGTGCTTAGAAATGCCAGGAAATTGCAGAGTGATGAGGTTGGCAAACTTTAGTCAATAAGATAAGACCTCTCAAAGGAAGACAGAGAAAAGCTGAAAATTAACCTCATAGAAGCATAATGTCTAAATGGGAATAGAAATGAAGAAGACATAAATTCTTTTTTTCTACAAGTGTCAGGGACTGGAAAGCTAGTGAAATGGTACATAAAAATATGGCAACAAAATCATTAGTGGAAGGGGGAGTTAAGAACAAAGGGAAAGGGAACATGTTCTTGAAAATTGTGTATACCAGCATACATGGAGTTAGATAAAAAAAACTTTGGAGTTGCAAGACATAATTCAGCTTAAGGTCCCAGATATTGTCGCATTATCAGAGACGAAACTTGAAGGAAATATACTAAATGAAGTCGTATTCCCAAGGGGCTACTCAGTTTGAAGATATGACAGGAAAACTAGGAAGGAAGGCGGGGGGAGGGTGGGGGGAGTGGCTGTGCTGGTGAAAGAACACCTGAAGGTAAGAGAGTTAATATTTGAAAACCCTCGTGATATTGACATAATGGCATTGCAAGTCTGAAATCAGGATGATAAGCTGATAATTTTAAATGCCTACAGCCCACCAGCAAGCAACACATGGACAAAGGAAGAACTGGATGACAAACGAGAGGGCCTCATAATGGTCAGGAGAGATATTATTGCACAAGCAGATAAAAATAAATCACGACTGTTGATACTGGAGAACTTAAACTTTAAAGCAATAGACTGGGAGGCCTATGAAGCAAGGACGGAGGACTTTTGGACATGCAGATTTGTAAACTTTATTCTGGAGACATTCTTGTATTAACACATTAAGCAGGCCACAAGAATGAGGGAAGGGGATGTACCGTCAGTACTTGATCTAGTATTCATCAGGAAAGAAGAAGAGTTTTTGACATCCAGGATCTTCCTCCCTTGTGAAAGAGTGATCACGTCCTGTTAGACATTAAATATCTTTAAGATATCTAGAAGAAAATTGTGATTTTGAAATAGTTGATAAACTCAATTTGAAGAGAGGACACTATGGGGTACTTCAAAAAAAAATTAATGAGTGTAATTGGACAGACTTGTTGCTAGGCAGGGAAGTAAATGAGATGTATGCCAAATTTTGCAAAATATACGATGGAGGCACACAAACATTCATACCTAAACAGAGATGCAGGGCCAGAAAACAGGATTGGTTCAAAAGAAATTGCTAAAGGGCCAGAGACCAAAAGACACAAAAATGGAATCAATATAGGAAGAGGCCAAACCCCCAAACATACCAGCTATACAAAGATGCGAGAAACAACTTCACGGCAGTAAGAAGAGAAGCAGAAAGAAATTTTGAAAAAGGGTTAGCGGACAAATGTAAAACAGAACCGGGCCTATTCTACAAATTCATAAACCACAAATTGCAGGTAAAGGATAATATCCAGAGGCTGAAAATGGGAACCAGATTCACAGAATATGAAAAGGAAATGTGTGAAACATTAAACGAAAAGTTCCAAAGTGTGTTTGTACAAAATGAAATCTTCAGAGAACCAGACACAATAAGAATTCCAGAAAACAACATAGAGTGCATAGAGGTGTCTAGAGATGAAGTGGAAAATATGCTCAAGGAGCTAAGTAAGAACAAAGCAGTTGGTCCAGATGGAGTTTCACCATGGGTTCTGAGAGAATGTGCATCTGAGCTCAGCATTCCACTTCACCTGATTTTTCAGACTTCCCTGTGTACAGGAGTCGTAGCAGATGTGTAGAAAAAGGCTAACATAGTTCCAATTTACAAAAGTGGCAGCAGGGAAGAGCCCCCTTAATTATAGACCTGTATCATTGACAAGTGTAATAGTCAAAATATTGGAAAAAATAATTAAAGCTAAATGGGTAGAACACCTGTAGACAAACTATATAATATCAGATCGTCAGTATGGTTTTCAATCTGGAAGATCCTGTGTATCAAATTTACTCAGTTTCTGATGATAGAGCCACAGAGATTTTACAGGAAAGAGATGGTTGGGTTGACTGCATCTATCTGGACCTTAAAAAGGCTTTTGACAGAGTTCTACATAAGCGGTTGTTCTGGAAACTGGAACACATTGAAGTGGTGACAGGTAAGCTGCTAACATGGATGAAAAATTTTCTGGCTGATAGAAAAATGAGGGCAGTAATAAGAGGTGTATCGGACTGAAGAAACAAGCGGAGTACCACAGGGTTCAGGTCTTGCACCGGTAATGATCATTGTCTACATAAACTATCTACCAGATGAAATATAGAATTATATAAACATGTTTGGTGATGATGCTAAGATAGTAGGAAGGATAAGTAACTTAGATGATTGTCATGCCCTTCAAGAAGACCTGGAGAAAATAAGTATATGGAGCACCACTTGGCAAATGGAATTTAATGTAAATAAATGCGATGTTATGGAATGGGGAATAGAAAGACATAGACCTCACACAACCTATAAATTATGTGAGAAGTCTTTAAAGAAGTCTGATAAAGAAAGAAGTCTAGGCGTGGTTCTAGATAGGAAACTATCACCTGAGGACCACATAAAGAACATTGTGCGAGGAGCCTATGCTACACTTTCTAACTTCAGATTTGCTTTTAAATACATGGAGGGCGAAATACTAAAGAAATTGTTCATGACTTGTTAGGCCAAAGCTAGAATATGCAGTGGTTGTGTGGTGCCCATATCTTAAGAAGCACATCAACAAACTGGATAAGGTGCAAAGACATGCCACTAAGTGGCTCCCAGAACTGAAGGGCAAGAGCTACAAGGAGAGGTTAGAGGCATTAAATATGCCAAAACTAGAAGACCGAAGGAAAAAGAGGCGTTATGATCACTACATACAAAATAGTAACAGGAATCGATAAAATCGATAGGGAAGATTTACCGAGACCTGGAACTTTAAGAACAAGAGGTCATAGATATAAACTAACTAAACACAGATGCCGAAGAAATATAAGAAAATTCACTTTCGCAAAAAGAGTGGTAGATGGAACAAGTTAAGTGAGGTGGGGATGGAGGCCAAAACCGTCAGTAGTTTCAAAGCATTATATGACAAAGAGTGCTGGGTAGGCGGGACACCACGAGCATAGCTCTCAACCTGTAACTGCACTTGGGTAATTACACTTAGGTAATTTTTGTGGTAATGTTATGGTGAGAAAATCAGTGGGAATCTTGAGGAGAATTCATCTTGCACACTGGGTACTCCAAAGTACACACCTTAGACCCTCATTGATACATCATGTTAATGCAACTTTCACAATAATCATGTTAATGGGATTTCTGGGGGGGAGCCCCCTCGGCTCCCTGGAGCTATCCAGGCTGATATGAATGTATTAGACCCTGGCATCAGTCAAAGCGAATGGAGTTCTTAGGCCTACCACAGACAATGAGCCAGAACCTGGCCCCCTCAGAGAGGCACGAGGAGCAATGGCCTATATAAACCCCTCAGTGGTTGGAAGCATTCTATGTCTGTCGTCGACCAGGTCAGGCACCCAGAAAGGTAGGCACCCCAAAACAAACCCGATCTGGTTAAATAATGCTACTGAAAGCCGAACTGTTGGACAGAACTC